GATATTATTGACTGTAATTAAGGTTAATAATTGGATAAATAAATAACAGCGATAGATGCAATAAATGCAATAACATTATATGCATATATTTTTAAATGTAAATTTCATGTATTTGCTTTAATAAAAAGTAATAGCGATAGCACACGCAAGCATAATTGCTAGTGAACTAAGTTCGAAAATAGGTTTTTATGTAAATGCATCGAGCATAATTATTAGTACATTGAGATGAACTAAGTTCGAAAATCGGTTTTTATGAAATGCTCCGAACAGTGTTCAAACGGGTTTATAAGCACAAACTAACCGGTTGGAGCAGGATAACATCCCTACTTAATATTATCTCAAATTCAGATATATTTAAATATTGTAAGAGTTACTATTTTAGATTTTTATTTATTCATCACCCTTTTAATTTATGATTTTGTTGAGCCTGTGAGTCCCATGATTACAATAAATTCATTATATTTTGCGTAACTCATTTCATGAGTATATTTTTAACATTTTTATGCTTTGTCTTTTAAGTTTTTTTTTGCTAATATAAATTTGAGTCCCGGAACTGGAGATTAAGGCAGCTATATCTATATATTATTCGGTCTTACGAGAACTGGAGAAATAAATACGTATAACAAGTAGTTCAATATATATGTGCATATAGAATGTATATATTTGACAGATCACGAGTAAAATTAAAACCAGTCAACATAAAAGCGCGATAACAATGTATTTTACGGCAATGAATTACAATTATAAAATTCTAATTACAGCCTTATTAATATGTTCTTTTTAATACTTTTAGACAATAAAAATCTAGAATCGTAAATTACATGATATACTTACTTGATGATAACTTAAATAGTTTATGTTAATTTTTAAAAATATATATAATTTAAATTCAATTTAGATTTTATTGATTAGCTAGACCAAAGATACAAAGTTGAAATAATTTTCTTGCACAAAGCTTTTACTAATACTTTTTTTCTTCAGAAAAAAATTTATTATCACAAAGATTTAAAGAAGTTATGATACAGCGATTTTTGATACAATGATCTTTGATATGTAGTATTTGATATAGTAATTTTAATATAGTGATTTTTTATTACATATAACCATTATAGCTAAGATCCAAAAAAGTCAGAATAGTGTTCGCGCATAGAGCATCTTCTAATGCTTTTTCTCCTTCGGAAGTAATTAAATTATTGCTAAGATCTAAAGAAGTTAGAGTAGTGTTCTTGCATAAAGCATCGGCTAACACTTTTCCGCCTTCAGAATCAATTTCATTATAACTTAAATCCAAAGATGTTAGAGTAGCGTTTTTGCATAGAGCATCTGCTAATGCTTTCACTTCATCAAAATAAATATAATTAGCACTCAGATTTAAAGAAGTTAAAGTAGTGTTCTGGCATAGAGCATCTGCTAATGCCTTTATGCCTTCAGAACTAATGCGATTATAGCTAAGATCTAAAGAAGTCAGTGTAGTGTTTTTGTATAAAGCATCTGCTAATGCTTTTCCGCCTTCAGAGTTAATATAATTATTGCAAAGAATTAAAGAAGTTAGAGCAGTGTTCTTGCATAAAGCCGTTGCTAATGCTTTTCCACCTTCGGAATTAATGTTATTACAGATAAGACTTAAAGATGTCAGGGTTGTATTCTTGCATAAAGCCTTAGCTAATGCTTTTCCTCCTTTAGAACTAATGTCATTATAACCAAGATTCAAAGAAGTTAGAGTAGTGTTCTTACATAAGACCTCTGCCAATTCTTCCCTTTCTTCAAATCCATATTGACTATAGCTAAGATTCAAAGAAGTCAAATTAACATTCTTGCTAAGGATCTTTATTATTGCTTTATATTCAAGGTCGTCTTTAATGTTATAGTTGATAGAAATAACAGTGGTGTTTTCGTAAATATTTTCAAATATTCTTTTATTGTAAATCATTTTACCAAGATCTAAATACTTAAGTTTATGACTTGTTCGTAAGAACATTGCAATCAAAGAACATGTAATAGCGTTTACAAGTTCATCATTAACAATTTTCTCGTTTTCATTATAAAGTTCATAACAAAGCCAATTTTTGATTCCAACATGGAAATCATAGCCAATAGATATAGTATGACTTGTATATTCAAATAATAGTTTTGAATGATTCGGAAGGATAACCTTAAAAGGGATTAATAGAGCTTGTTCTTCATGATTTAACGTTGAAAGATATATCTTTATAAGCCTTTTGTCGCTAATATAATTTGTTGGCTCACTCCATAGAATAGGTACAATTATTCTACACCATTGGCGGTTTACAAGAAGACATGAAAATAAGTTTTTATAATGTGTACGAAGGTTATTAAATATGCTAAAAAGAACTTCTCTCGGTAATGGTATCATTTTAAAAGAGAATTTATTTAATACGTGTATGCAAAAAAACACAATATGAATTTAAAGGCGAAACAATTAAAACCAATTTATGGTTTGGGAAGGTATAATTTATATAAAGACCCTCGAAATAATTTTATAAACAAAATTTGTTATTACGTACGTATACTGTATGTGCCTGTCATCCGAGCCTATAGCCCATCATGATCTTCGGAAATGCCGTGACAACTTAAATCCTATGATAAACACGTGAGGGTTTGCATATTTGCATATCGTACGATGACTAATGGTGTGATTAGATAAATATAATGATTCATTAATGCAGTAATAACAAATGGTACGTACGTACGTACGTACGTACATTGTGAAAGGTAGATCGTTGCTTGTACGTAATAGATTTTCTATATATGGTGGGATTGGATGTATCGGTATATTGGATTTCCCCTGATAAGTAAAATTTGTAATAACGATTGGAATTAGTGACCAAATCCCGTGATTCTGTATAAAGAGATTCGTGACGTAATTTAGAGCTCTAATCTGACACTATCGCTAAGAACCCAATTCACCCTAGTTACTCGGACCAAGTCTTCCCACGCCTTAATCGAAGCCTTACCAATATTAGGGTTTGGTTGTACTAGTAGTGTTCTGGTTAGAGTAGTTTAGTTAGGTTTAGTAGTGTGTAGTTTATTAGCTAGACCCGGTGCATTTTTCGCACTTTCTCAACGTACGTACGTACCTGAAGTTGACACCCGCCTGAAGTTGTAAATAATATCAGGTGCGTGAAACTGTACTTGACTTATATTTGTTCTGAAATTAGATCTAGCGTGCATTAGCTAGTAATTTTATGGAGGTGTAACTTCAGATCCCTGACAACAATTTTACGATATTGCCGGATGTACTAATGTGGGGATTAATTTCTAAAAAAAAACCTCATTCATTATTAAAGCTAAATCTGTAATTTGTATTTTGTACAGTCGGCCCCCCCTAAATGCATATTAATTTTCTGGCCCAAATATATACTAAACCCCATAAATGCATTTTTTATTATTGTTCTCTAAATGCTAGCCCTCAAAAGTTGGGTTCTGATGATATACATTTATGGAGGGAGGGTTGACTGTAGTTAAATAAAGCTTTCACGATAGCATAGTATTCGATGCATTTGAATATAAAATAGCAAAAGTGATGACATGTGGGTCCTCACTCGATAATTCTGAGGCATACAATGGTGCATTTCAATTCCCCGATATTTGATCGGTTATTTTTGAATGGCTCATATAAATGCACATTTTCTTAATAGTGTCTAAATACATGTTTTTAGAAGTTCGGTCCCTATGGTGTGCAATTAGAGAGGGTTTTCTGTACTGCTAAATTTGTATCATAGATATGAGAATAGATGCAGTTAACCCTCCCAAATAGTATTTATTTACAAAAAGTTTTATGCAATACAGTCGAAATTCCCTAAATGCAACCTCCCTAAATGCAACACCTCCCTCCCTAAATGCACGGTCTTATTGTGGCTCTACTATCTCCCTAAATGCAAGATTCTGCGTGGTTGGTACAATTTGCACTTAGGGAGGTTGACTGTAATTTCTATTGAATAAGAATTATGATATAAAATGAAATAAAACCAATAGAGTACATTAAATTTGTAAAACGATTATAAAAAGGATGTGATTAATCTTTTCAACTGAAAAAAACATCATTCAAAAAGAGAAATAATTACTACTTATCCTGTTTATCCTTCAAAAAACCATTAAAATTATGTCAAAAAGTCCTTCAAATTTTATTATTCTACTTATGATTTGCATGACCTTTTTTAGATTAATCCGAGGCAATTATGTCGCTTATGCTGATTATCCTGACACCTCGGAAAGAAGTAGTCCACTAATCGGTCGATTTACTTGGAAAGAAACTTCAACAAACGTTACCCGACTTAATGGAAATTTCATGTCAGGTTTTGACGATCCAGACATTAATAATTATTCATTCAGTTTGGAAGATGATCATGAAGTAATATATGATTTCTCCAAAAACATTCGAGAGTCTGTTAAGGTTGTAGATCATGGGATCACACCTTATGAAGAATGTTTTGAAAATGGCGTTATGAGACCTAGAACAATTATAGGTTTAAAATGTGTTATTAAATATAAAGATGAAATAATCGGGAACAGCCCTGTTAGACATGGTTAAATTATCAATTACAATTGTGAACAATTAATTATTTTCGCTTAGATTATTTTAATTAATGAAAAGATATGTTATTTTAATAGCCTATTTTATTTTTTCGTCGTTAAACGATAGGTTAGGGATAGGTTAGATTGATAAACATTAATCGTTACAAACTTATAATACACAATGTCTTAAGACTTATTCGTGGCAATTTTCTTTTTTCTCTTTAAATGTATATAATCAAAATAACTGATTCACCTTGATTAAAAGGATTGATTGAAATAAATACTCTCAAGTAATTAATCATTTAATAGACTTATATAAAGTTTTGACTTATTGCACATATTATACCATGGTTATAATTTATTTTTATACAATCTTTGCAGTAAAAAGTTTTTTTTTTTGTGCGATGTAACTGCTTAGATTCATTTTCGATCTTTTTTTAATTTATTTTTAGCTCACTAAAGCTTAATACGATAGTTGAATCAAGTAAGTAGACGATCGTTTGTTAATTAAAACTTTTCTTGTGATAAGCATAGAAAGCAATTTTTGATATAATTATATTGGTATTTTCGTTTAATTAATATTTGCTCATTGTAATGTAATAACAAAACAAAGAATTTTTTAAAAAATCAACTACATCTAAAAATTTATCTATGACCCATGTTAAAAAAAATTTTTTGCAAAATTT